CCTTCCTCTGGTTGGGCTGAGGCCTCGGGCTGTGGAGGGGGAAGGCACCACTCGCCGTGGCTGCTGCCCGCCTCGCGAGTGGCCGCCGCCCTCGCCACGCTGTTGGCAGGCATATAAATTGCTGTGTCAGTCGCGCCTTCCTCCAGTCTCCCAGCAGTATCTGGCAGTCGCTCGGCTGCTCACTGCCCAGGTACCTCCAGGGCGCTCGCCTGGCACGGCAAGAAATCCCACGCGCGTCCCGTGGTTTCTACACGGACCGACTGCAGCGGGTCCCCGGGACCAACAGCGTGGGCAAAAAAAAAAGTGAAACTCTCCTGAACCACTGTTCGTTCATCCATGGAACACGCTCCAACCCCTAAGCGGCCTTACGGAGTATGTACGGGCCTCGCAGAGGCTCACGATCAGGGTCAGCGTTCCAGCACGCCACGGCGGGGGAGGATCTCGGGACTAAGGGCCGCTGCCCTATCACCTGTGCGCTGCTGCTCGGTGGCGAGTCCCCCCTGCCAGCCTTTCCTGGAAAGCTGCTGTCAAGATCCAAGGCTAATCGGGAAATTTCTCCTCCCTCACGCCGTCGTTTCTTTCACTCACTACGAACTCGACCCGTAGCAATGGTAACATGGTCCTCCGTACCAGACGATCATCATTTAACAAATTACCAGTCGAGCCTCTCGTGCCCGACGATGCTACCAAACCGCTGCTCCTGAGACTCCCTACGTAGACGTGCTGTCTCTGTCCAGTCCACTCAGGCCCAAAGGTACTTATCGCATCTTGCTGCCCGGCGTTTCTTCGAATGATCGGCCGGCGCTGCTTCGCGTGACCACCGGCTCTTAGGCGAATCTGACGGGCCACTGACGGCCATCCATAATTGGTGCCAAATCTGCAGCCGTTAGCGGGGAGCCGTCCGTCCTCAGGGAATGCTGGCGACAGATGCCTCCTGCGTGGCCTGCGGACAGCCATCGCCAAAGGATCAGAATGCAGTGTACGCTGTAGCAGTACTCTGTATAATGTCATGAGTGTATTCGAAGAGGTTGACTGCCCCCTTCAAGAATCACAAAAAGGGTTTTCTTAGGCTGCGGATCCGGACGGACCGTTACGGCCACAGATTCACCAAGACGGCGGTCATACCAGCAGCAAACCCCACACATTTAGCCTCCTCGGCGTCTCGTGGCATCTGAAATCTCGCACAGCCGTCTTGATCCCAGGAGATGACGGTGCTCTGCAGATCTCTATCATGTCGTTCTTACTCCGTAAGGCCACTACTGGCACAGATTGGAGTGCCCCCCCGGCGATCCGGCGCTCAAGTCTCATGTGGAACCGTGTGTCCTGACCACTCGCCGCCGCTGCGTCCCGGCACATGCTACTGTTTCTTGCCCGAGTCGGTATGTCGTCGGTTGGCCACCGCGATTGCTAGATCCCAATCTGGGCTGTACAGCACCGACCTCAGTAGTCTGTATGGCCGGTTGGCACCGGTCCTCCCTCCAAATGACGGTCTCGTGTTAAGCGAAGGAGCCGATTCTGCACTCTGTAAGCTGTCCTCCGGACTGGGTATTACCTTGTGAACCACGCGATGCCGGGTGCTGGAGCAAGGGGTGGCAGGAATGCGGGCAGCACCCAACGCACGCGGCCAGGGATGACGTCGTGAGCGAACTGACAGTCCCCTTCCCCAGGATGTCGGAACGGAGTCGATGAGAGGATGGCTGGACTTGAAACGCGCTAAGAGCGTTAAGAGCGTGTACATCATACATGGCCTGTACATCAGACTCGTAAATCATGAAGATCTCGTCTTAGCCGACGCCGTGGTCCACCGGTAACGTGACCGATTGGAAATAATTCGACTTGATGGTTCATGGCAGCTATACGAGTATACCTACGGGGTTGTCCGCCCAAATTTGGGCCTCCTTGTCACTAGAGGATCCATCGCCAAGGGGATATTTATCAAAGGCATAGAGGAAAGGGGCAGATTAGGACGGGACAGAAGACGAATCCGTTAGCAGGAAAAAAAATGTCTAGCGATTAATGCTAATGGAGTACTCCGTATAATAACAGTCCTACTCCCATCCTATCATATTCTTCCAATTCTGGTTCAAAATTAATATTCTATCACACTCTCGAAGCTCCTATCCGGCATTGTGTGCCCATCGAGTTGCTAATAGTATCCCCTGATTTTAACCTGTACTGCACGTGAACCAGATGAACCCAGGGTGAAGGTATATATACCAAGAGCGTGAGAAAAAAGGGGGAGGGGGAAACGTGGCATACTCGTCTTCTTAGATGATTTGTTAGAATTATTATATTAAAAATACAGATTCAGCCACCAGAATAACCTCTATCCAGTATATGGAGTATTCCGTACTGTCGTCAAAGATACTAGTACTGTAGGTAGATGATCGGGCAGGAAGGCGGTCTGCGCGGTCGGCCCCTCCGACCCGCCGTATCGAAATTCAACTTCGAGTCACCGCGCACAGCAGCCAGACCAGGCTGCCAGGATCGCACGAAAGAACCCTCCCGCCACAAGAACCCTCCCTGACGCGACTGACTTCCACATCGTGCAGCCATGGCGTCCGATATGACGGCGCCCATCCTGGACGCCCTGTCCTCGGCCGACGGGCCCATCCTCTCCTCCGACGCCTTCCCCTCCACCCCCTCACTGACGATAAAAGCCGCGCTCGACCGTCTGGCGTCGAGGTCCATGGTGACCTACGACACCATCGACAGGGAAGTCGTCGTTCTGACTCCCGAAGGTGAAGATATCGCCGCCAATGGCAGTCACGAAGCCAAGGTGTTCCAGGCTGTCGCGGCCGCCCTGGACGGGCTAAAGATCTCCGATCTGCCCTGCATCGTGGGCAAGGACAGCGCCAAGGTTGGCCAGGGAAATGCCTTCAAGAGAGGGTGGATCAAGAAGGACAAGGATCTGCTGAGACCGAACACCGAGTCGATCCACGACGAGACCAAGGAACAGCTGCAGACCATCAAAGAGACGCAAACACACCCAGACGCCAAGGTGGTGGCGGATCTGAAAAAGAGGAAGCTGGTCACGACGCAGAAGGCGATCAGCTTCAAGATTTCCAAGGGCCCCAAGTATGCCAGGCAGTTCGTCAAGGAGGAGACCGACCTGACGGCAGAGATGCTGGCCGACGGGTCGTGGAAGACGGCCAGCTTCAAGCCGTATAACTTCAAGGCCAAGGGCGCTCCCACCCCGAGCGGAGCACTGCATCCCCTCAACAAGGTGCGCCAGGAGTTCAGGAACATCTTCTTCGAGATGGGCTTTGAAGAGATGCCGACGAACCGCTTCGTCGAGACCGGCTTCTGGAACTTCGATGCCCTCTTCGTGCCGCAACAGCATCCTGCCCGTGACCTGCAGGATACCTTCTATATTTCCGACCCCGCGAAGGCCGATCCCCCTCGGGAAGATCCCCCCAACAACCCGCATCTGAAGCCTGCGGAGAAGCCGCGCGACTACAAAGAGTACTGGGAGAATGTGCGGCAGGTCCACGAGACGGGCAAATACGGTTCCATCGGGTACCGATATCCGTGGAGCGCGGACGAGTCGCTGCGCCTGCTCCTCCGAACGCACACGACGTCCGTGTCGACCTACATGCTGCACAAGCTGGCCGCGAACCCGCGACCGGCGCGCTACTTCAGTATCGACCGCGTGTTCCGGAACGAAGCGGTGGACGCAACCCACCTGGCGGAGTTCCATCAGATCGAGGGTGTCATTGCCGACTTTGGGCTGACACTGGGCGGGCTGATCGGGTTCATGGAGGTGTTCTTCGCCAAGATGGGCATTCACCGGCTGCGCTTCAAGCCGGCGTACAACCCGTACACCGAGCCCAGCATGGAGATTTTTGGCTATCACACCGGCCTAGGGAAATGGGTCGAGATCGGCAACAGCGGCATGTTCCGGCCGGAGATGTTGGAGCCGATGGGAATCCCGAAGGATATGAGAGTGTATGGGTGGGGGTTGAGTCTTGAGCGACCGACCATGATTAAGTATGCACCCTCTCTCTCTCTCTCTGACTTTTTTTTTTGGGCATGTCTTACTGACTGCGATTAACAGATACGGAGTCAGCAACATCCGAGACCTTCTCGGCCACAAAGTCGACCTCAACTTTATCGAGACGAACCCAGCCGTGCGGTTGGAGAAGGATTAATTAGATTAAACAGAGGATATATCACGAACAAAAAGGAGAAGTTTAAAAAAAAAAGAAATGAAGAAAGAAGCAACGATTGAATGAACGAATAAAGTATAGTATAGTAAAATAAAGACCAAGAAAAAAAGAATTATATCTATCTATCTATCTACTATCTATATATCTTCTATATATCTATCAATCTATCTAGCTAGCTGGACCCATATGTATGATGTGATAGACAGAACCCAGATAAGAATCAAAAAGACGAGCAACCATATTCCCTGCCTACAAGGTATCTACCTACAGTAGGCAGGTAGTGTATATACCTATATATCCTGGCTAGAAAGGTTGACTACCTGCCACGATATATATACTGGATCAAGTCGAGGAGGCTAATGACAAAAGGATAATAATGCGTCTATTAACAACCTGCTGCCTGTCTCGAGAGCTTCAAGTCTCACTCCTCTACTTGTCGCAAGTTCAACAACCCGCTCCTCTAATTAAGGCCAACAAACAAGTCATGCTGACCCTGGCGCGGCACAGCACGAGTTGTTGATTATGCAAGACGGACCGCATCATCACTATCATTTATTCGTCCGGAACATATCCTGCTGCATCCGGAGGGCCGCCTGGATGCAGGTAGACAGTTAACTACCTACCTAGGTAGGTAAGTACCTGGTACCTACCTAAGCTTAGGTGCCTTGTACTGTACAAGGTACTTTCCTAATTAGGTACCTACCTACCTACCTAGGCAGGCATTATTTGATCGTGTGACAGTTCGCATTCATAGGCAGGAGCCACCGAGCCGTTTCCTTTTTAAAGATGGAGGTGACCCTGCCGAGTTGTACAGTACACATTCTTTCCCCCTCACTCTCACACTCCGCTGGATTTATTTCCTGACACAGATCTTCAAAATGGCTGATAATCCTCACCAAGCTCCAGCTCCAGACATTATTATAGAGCCAATCATGAGTCCAGCAGAAGCCTGGCTTTCTGCTCATTCTTTATTATTGACAAGAGAAGAACCTGCAGGAAAACCCAGATGATGTAGATTCGACTCTTGGGTGAGGAAAAGGCTCTTTGACGCTTTCTTGTTTCCAGACTGATACAAGTCTGCAGAGTTGACAGCGCCAGCGAAACCACCTCGCTAGCTTCCAGCGTGAAAGCCTACGTGTAAGTTGTCGTTTATCAGTTACTTGATGATAACATCCACAAAGACTAAAAGCTGCAGATATGAGGTCTGCATATACCTACATATCACCGAGGGAGAAAAAAATACCACTAAAGAGCATCAGAACGGACGGAGATATCATTCGTATCACGAAGGGGAATACGTGCTTGTAAGTGACGTATTTCGCAACTGGTCTGTGGCTGCGTGTTGACTGACGCTGCTGGTAGCCCAACGATGAGGAAGAACAGGATCGGCTGGATCTGGTAAGATCTGTAGACAATCTTCCGGCGCGACCTGACATGCGATCGTATACAGTCACATCATATTTACAAAATGCTCCTTGGCGGGGAACTGTATCTCGCGCCTGTCGGAAAACGGCAGAGGGTATTAGACATGGGCACGGTCACGGGCATCTGGGCGATTGATTTTGCCGAGTGCGAGCACCAGCTTTCACATATACTGTCACTGAGGCTGACGAAGGAGCAGTGAGCACCCAGAGGCAGAAGTCATAGGTAAGAAAAAAAAACACGATCTCGAAGAGGCTCTTCTGACGTTACCTGCAGGAAATGACTTGAGCCCCATACAGCCTCCGTGGTACGTCTCCCGTTCAGGCTGTCATATCACATCTGACTGACTCATGCCACTCTCTAGGGTCCCGCCAAACTGCCGATTCCAGATTGACGATTTCGAAAAGGAGTGGGCATACTCTCGCCCATTTGACTTCATTCACGGCCGGGACCTTGAAGGGTCTGTCCGGGACTATGACCAGCTTTTCCGGCAAGCCTTTCAGAATCTGAAGCCGGGGGGATATCTGGAGATGGCATCGATGGAGATCAACACCCATTCGGATGACGGGACCCATTTGAAAGCGAAGAATTTCCTCAAGGGGCTTCGAGTCACGCACGAGGCGTCCAAGAAATTCGGAAAGGACATGAACTCCGTGGCGACGTGGAAGGAGAAGATGGAACGCGCGGGGTTCGAGAACGTTACAGAGAAAATCTACAAGGATGCTCGCTCAAGCCTCGCTTAGTAAAAAAAAACGGATTGATCGACTGATTTGTATGTGCTGCATGCATGTATACAGCTACCGCAAAGCCCCTGGCCCAAAGACCGCAAGCTGCGCGAACTCGGTCGCTACCACCAAGCGAACGTGCTGCAGGGTCTAGAATCCTACACGTACGCGCTCTTTACCCGTTTTGCGGGCTGGAAGAGAAAAGAAATAGAAGTTCTGTTGGCCGGAGCGCGGCGGGAGCTGCAGGATCTGTCGATCCACCTCTATACGAACGTCCGCTTTGTGTATGGGCGAAAGCCGGATGTCTGATAGTATAAATAATCCTGATCCCGGGGATCGAATATTCGGTAACTAGTACGATTGGGCTTGAAGAAGTACGACTGTACAACTGTACGACTGAATGGGCTTTTGTTCTGCCTATCCATCAATATTGATATTGATATAATTTCCTTCACTACGTCCTTCACTACATATACCTCGTTATTCGAGTCAGACAGGCAGATATCATCAGCATTCTTCGTTTATTTTACTACTACCTCCTCTATATCACTAAGATAAATTAATAATGCAATGAGTGACGTCTACGTCTGTCCCACCCGTATCTGTGCCCCGGCGCAGAATCTCGGTTCCACCGCGGCTCTTCAGTAGGCGGGAAATGGATAGCATAATCAATGTTCGGCTTGGATGGATGGATGATTTACGGTTTCTCTACCTCCTCTCTCATGGAGATTGGAACCGATTCCTCGAGAGAGGAATAGTCCCGGGAGTGAGGAGGCCTTGATGTGCCGGTTTTTGCAACTGAATGAAAATAAAATAAAAAAGAAAAGGAGAAGGAGGAATATCAATCGATTGATATGGATGGATGGATTATGGCATGTCATGTTTTCGAAACCCGCCTTTAAATTGTTCTATTTAAAGGTTCATGGTATTTTCATGACATTCTTCTGTTTCGTTCCTTGGATTCTCCGCCTAGTCCGGATGGTCAAGAGGCGGGTTTTTCGCAACCAAAAAACTCCGTTTTCGGCGTTCATCCATGGTCCATGTATTCTCATGCAATGTATTTCTTTTCGTCTCGTTTAACCCGTATCTGTTGAATTCAAACCGTTAGCCCGGTTGTCCTGCTGAATGTTTCACGTCTGGTCTCGTCTTACCATCACACCCCCTTAAGAATCTTCCCCCTCCTGATGTGATATCAGCATTTACCGCTGCGCGCTCCACACATTCTTCAGGTACCCGTCACGCTGAGCAAGGCGGTTCAGCGAGTCGTCGGCCTCGCCACGGGCACGGACGAACCCGCACAGAGCGTACAGCTGGTTCTCGCCGGTGTAGCGGCCGTTCTCGTCAACCTTGCCGATGGCGATCTGGACCGAGGCGTGGTCGTTGGCCTTGATGATGCGGTTGGTGGCGCTGCACTTGCGCGGGACGTAGCTGGAGAAGACAGCGACGTATTAGAGAGGATTTTCCAAAGAAACGAAAAAAAGCAAAACCATTATGTATGTCACGAGAAAATTGCCAAGTCCTTGTCGCCAGGCGATCTGGAATTTTGTTTTTCGAACGTAGGTCCGACGCTGCCATATCGCATTTTTCATGCCACTGCCATCGCAGCGGCGAAAATTATAATGATAATGGCTGCAACGGCCCATCCGCACGAAAAAAAGCTCGCCCGGAAATAAGAACAGAAAACATCAATCAGGTCAGGTCAGGATACGTACAGATCGACAATCTCTCCCTTCTCGTTCTCCATTTTGGCGTGTGTCTAGCCGGCTGACAGGAAGGTCTTGCGGTTGGAACGGTGGACGAGAATGCGCTGACTGACTGGAGGTTTTTGCCCGGAGACGGTCGGTTGTTGAAAAGAGAAATCTCGATGGGGTTTGCTCCGGTTGTGGGTCATGTGACTTCTTATCGAGGGCTGGTTCCGGAGTGTGGTGTGGCTGGTGGCGTGGCTGGTGTGGCGTGGACGAGTGACCGCGTGCGTGGCGTTAGTTGCCGCGCCACATTTCCGTTGAATATCCGGGGTTAGTCCGTATACGGAGTAGCATTGCAGGCTACATGTACGGAGGAGTACTATGGGCTATGCGACATAGATACGTACGACGATTCAATGAAAATAGTTTCCAAACCGATATTGCGTGGTTTCTTTCACTGTTGACAGACGCAGTGTACATACATAGTCTATCTATCCATCCTGTAGACGTCTCACATTCTTTTCACAGTATACACTGAATTACAAATTACTCTTAGAATCAGCCCTCAAAATATCCTTCTTCCACCGTACCTCGAGGTTCCGAGGCCCTTCCTTGCTGAATCTCACAAGAATAACTCGGTGCTCCTCTCCCTTCTTGTCTGACCCTCGTAATTCCGGCCCAGGGCTGTCCAGAGCCAGGACCGATCTGTTATCCGGCAACAATTTCATGCTCTTAGGACAGATGTATTTGTGCGTCCACGGGGGACTGCCAGAGTGGATGAACTCAAGCAGCTCTGATCTCCGTCGCTTTAGTTGTTCCGACGAAGCGCCCTGTCGAGGCTCCTGGTCCAGGAACTGCGAGATGAGATGCAGCAGTAAGAACTGCGGCGGGAAGAGAATGATCTCCCCGCTGCGCGCCTTTCCAAGCCAGTCGCACGCCGGCAGGAACCTGGCCTCCATGATCTCGACGCCTCCGTCCGACGTGGGAACCTGAACCTGAATCTCTTCCCGCCCCGAGGCCGGCAGGCCCTGCGCCACCAGCAGCAGCTTATTATCGGACTCTTCCGGCACGGGCAGAAAGTAGAGATACATCTGCGTGGTAAATCGCTTGGGCAGGTTGGTTGGTGTGATCCAATGCGTGAAGGGGATCAATGCGTCTGAGAATCCATCTTTCAGCGAACTGTATTGACCACAGCTGCAAAAGCCATCGTCATACATACCTGTGTCAGGCTCCGCCGCCGAATTCTGCTCCTCGAGCCATTTCTGAAAAGTAATTTCCTCCCTGTGGATGGCGTGTCGTCCTCGCTCCCTCTCTGCCTCATCCACGTGGACCATCTGGCCCGTGGACCGATCCCGGGCTAGCAGGATGCCGCTTTCTTCAAACAGCTCCCGAATCGCCGCCCGTCGGTAGTGGATCGCATCGTCATGACTCTTGGGATCCTCAGGAGGTGGGCATTCCCCATCCTGGGAAGGGGAGATATTGCCTCCCGGGAAGACGTGTGCTGACGGGAAGGATGAAGACGTCTGCACTCGATGAAGTAGGAGTATTTCGTTTGTCGGAGAAACAAGGATCACGCTGCGAGATGTCAGTAAGTTCAATGATCACCTCTCACTTGCCCAAGAAAAAGGCATTCGCCTCAGTCGCTGCATACTATAGAACATGGAGGAGGGTGAACTATAGTAGCTTGTAGTCTTTTTCATTGCCATTGAAGAATAAAGACAGATCAGTCTAACCTTGAACTGGGCCTTGGGATTGACGGCCCCTTCTTAGCAGCTTTCTCGGCCATCTTGGAAGAATGCTCCGATTTACCACTGGCTGAATCGGTTGAATAAGCTGCTCTAGCAATCCTTGTCCAAGCAGGGGCCTGTCCGAGGTACTGCCGCGGAGAGCGGGGACGGAAGAGATCTTTCAGTCGACTACGGTACGTGTGACTACAAGATCGATTGATAGGAATTGTGTAAATATTCAGAAATAAAGTCATCTCGGAACGAATGTTAGAGACGTTGCATAACATAACCTCGTAAGCTCACTAACTACGTGAAAAGCTAAGGTCAGACGCGGGGAAGCATCAGCCGGCCGAGGTCCGTGGAAACAAAAAGCACACACTCCCGCCGCATCTGAATCTGCGGCTTAAAACTCCGGACCACCTGCACCGTTTTTGTTATTTTTTTCGTCAACCCATCCAACAACCATTCAATGGTATCCGACAGAATACAATCCAATCCCTTATGTATGTAGTAGGTAGTAGTTATATTTACGCATAGAGTTTCTTGTCGTAGCTGTGCAGGCCGTGGACGTTTCCTTCGGCCTGAGCGCTGCCGCTCCGCATTTCGAAGCGAACCGTCCCGTTGTTCACGCCTTCGTGGAGTTCCTGAATGCTCTTCACACCAATATCCTGCAGCGAGTGCTGAATACCGGCGATGAGGTACGGGACGAACTTGGTAACCGAACCGCGATCCAGGACTGAGCCGGACACACCCTGTGCCACCAGCACGCGGTCCTTCTCGGAAAAGTATCTCGCGGTTCCAGCGTTCTTAGCTTTGCTGTCCTTGCCACCTTTGCCCGCCTTCTTATCCTCCATGGCGTCAATGCTTCCCATTCCTCGGTAAGCCTTGACAAGCTGGCCTTCGTTACTGACAAAGTACTCTCCGGGAGATTCGGTGGTACCGGCGAGGAGACCACCCATCATCACCGTCGTGGCGCCCATGGCAAGACCCTTCACAATATGACCGACGTTTTGGATACCGCCGTCGGCAATGCAGGGAACGCCAAAGCGGGCTGCGAAAGAGGCAACCCTGCGCACAGCGAGAGCTTGAGGACGGCCAACGGCCATGACCTCCTGGGTAATGCATGCACTGCCGCTGCCCATGCCAATTCTCAGGCCATCGGCACCGGCGGCAATCAGCTGCGCGGCTTGCTCGCGCGTCACCACGTTGCCGGCAATAACATCAATCTGAGGGTACGTCTTCTTGATCCATTTGATCATTTCGATCTGGTAGATGCTGTTACCTTGGCTGCTGTCCAGAACAACAATGTCCAGTCCAGCATCAACGAGCATCTGCAGTCTCTCCTTGTCGTGCTCCCGAGTTCCAATAGCAGCAGCGCAGATGAGCTGCTTAGAATGAGGAAGCTTCGAGGCCAGAGGGTAGTGAAGATTCTTCCTCAAATCAGAGCGAGACAGCAGAGAGACCAGGTTACCCTCCTCATCAACAATAGGAAGCTTTCCTTTCTTAGAATTACGCAGAACCTCGTTGGCCTCCGCGAGCGTCGTTCCAGCAGGAGCCGTGACGAGATCGGTCGTCATGACCGCGGTGACGGGATCATCATCCGAGGTGTGGAATTGGATATCCCGGCTAGTCACTATGCCGACCAGCTTCGAACGAAGTGTTCCGTTCTCTAAATCGAACCATTAGTCAGCATTTGCTTGAAAAATTTCCTTCCACAACACAAATCGTAAAAATTCAGGCTGATCAGACAAAAATCTGTTTCTCCACACAGCTTGCGCTGCTGCGGTGGAACGAAAGTTATTTAAAGGTAGATTGGATACATCATATAAGGAAATGGAAATGAGTTGTCGACAAAGGGAGGTAGAAGCTTACCAGTTACGGGGAAACCGCCAAAACCCCACTTGGCCTTTAGTTCCCTGGCTTCCGCAACGGTCGTCTTGGGAGAGATGACGACGGGGTCCAAGATGAAGCCATTCTCGTATCTCTTGACCTTCCTGACCATCTCTGCTTGGTCCTCTGGAGAACAGTTGTGGTGGATGACACCCAGACCACCCAGCAGGGCCATGTGAATGGCCATGTTGTGCTCCGTGACAGTGTCCATGGGAGAGGAGAGAAGCGGAGCCTTCAGGGAGATGCGCTTGGTCACAGGGGTTTCAAGAGTGACGTCCGAAGCAGGGAAGCCTAATAGATGATGTCAATACCAAGCTCCCGGACTACTCTCGATGGAAGACCGCGCACCAATATAGCCTGGTAGGATTAGGAAGTCATTGTAAGTCAGAGCGCCATGCTTGTCCGAGTCCAGCAGAGTATCGACATCAAGACCATCTCTGGTCGGATACTCCTTCTCGAGGACCTCCAAGGCCTTGGTGTGGTCCAGGAACTCCCCTTTGTTGGAGAGGAGCCCACGTGCGTCACCGTTGGAAATAGGCATCGCGGGATGCAGATTTTAATCTCTATCGTAAATCGTGAATTGACAAAGGAAAAAGGGAAATAAGGTGAGAAAACAGCCAACAGAGCGATGGGAATACGTTTCTGTTGACGGGGAAGTGTTTCCTTTCCCAAAGAAAAGAAAGGAAAGAGGAAAAAATCTCAAGAGGCGATCCGGCCGTGACTTTTTTTTGCTGGACGGTGGGGTTCCAGGCGACGCTAGTCCGTCTCCGGCGACTGCGACTGGACCACTGGCGAAGGCGGTGAGAAGGCACGTGACTCAAACTGCCGGTTCTAGAGCGACCCAGTCACCGCCTATCACATGATCACATGGAGAAGATCGACTCGAACGTGGAGAGCAGATCCATCCCCATAGGATCCCTGGCTCTTTTATTTTTAGAAACTTCAATATTGAAGAATGGATGAAAACGCACTTCAGGCCTGATACCAGACCCAGGATGCTACGAAACCTCTCCCACCTCCAAGCCTATGTTAGCTATCGGAGATGGGATGCTGTGGAAATGCTATTTTCCCTAAAATACATATTGTCTCAATTTCAATGAGCCTGGGGAAATACACATGCTGATTCTGGAATTGTCGAGTTGTTTTTTTGTTTCGTTTCGAAAGTTTCTGACTACACAGCAGCTCGTTCCGAGAGAGCAGATGTTGCCACATGATGACGACAAAATTACAGTCAACTTTATGAACGTTGTCAATCTGGAGCTTCAAATAAGCTAATCTATACTCATAGCTGAATATATACTCCATTTTTCTGACGTATCATACTGAGTAGCTATTTTCTCTGACAATACCTTTATTCCAAGCACTAATTACTACTGTATAAAGAACGCAAGATGACATCTCAGATGGGAGAACATGGGACCTTCAAGGCTCCGGAGGTAGCCCAAAGCCAGCCAAAGCCCGGGTAGGCGTGTTACGACCTTGTCCTTTGCATGCTGTTCTCTTTGCATTGTCGCCATGACTCCGGACGCTTCTTACACATCCATTCCAGATTGGAGAAGGACATGATTCCGCCCAGTGAGTCGACCAAATTGGAGGCTGCAGGAGCATTCGTTGAATACGTTGGAAGCGGGAAGTTGAAGGATAAGAAGGTGCTCATTACTGGTGGAGAGTTAGTGGTATCCTTTCTCAACTCGTACCTCACGTTCCACTATATAATGTCCTCGTTATTCTATTGTTAATGACTATCATAGTTCCGGGATCGGTCGCTCAGTTGCCATCTTAATGGCAAGAGAAGGGGCCGACATTACAATTGTCTATCTACCTGATGAGCAAATCGATGCAGATGATACGAAAAAGATGATCGAGGCGGAGAACCGAACGTGTAATCTCTTTTCCGGGGATCTCAGGGATAACGATACTTGTCGAAGGGCTGTCGAGGATCATGTGAAAAAGTCTGTTCTTTCCTGAAATCCATCTGTCGCCAAAATTGACAAACCTGTTGTCGGATAGATTTGGAAGAATCAATGTCCTCGTCAACAATGCAGGGAAGCAATGGTTGTGCAAGGAGTTCACGGAGATTGATCTCAATGTCGTCGAAGACATCTTCCGAACAAACGTCCTACAAATGTTTGCTGTCACAAAATTTGCGCTTCCTCATATGAGCAAGGGAGACTCGTAAGTGTGGATGGCCATGTTTGAAGAAAATGATTTTGATAAGGCTGAGTCTCAATGTCCCAGAATCATCAACACGACCTCTGTGACGACTTTCCGTGGCACGAGCAGCATGATCGACTACGCATCGTCCAAAGGTGCAATTGTGGGGTTCACGAGGGCACTGGCGACGAGCTTGCTACCAAAGGGAATTCGAGTCAATGCAGTAGCGTAAGTGATAATCGTCCTCTTGGTATAAAAATGAAATGAGCCTGGCTGACAATATTTATCTATCAGACCTGGTGCGATTTATACGCCAATCCAGGTCGATACAAGACCTGCGCAACAGATGCAAGGCTGGTATTCAAATTCACCTATTGGGCGTCCAGGGCAGCCAAGTGAGGTCGCGACCTCTTTTGTTTTTCTAGCAAGCGCTGAGGCGTCACTGTATTGTGAGTTTTTTTTAATCGATAACTCTTCTATTCCCACGTATTTTACGATGAGGCTCTTGCTAATGGATATGCTTTACCAATACAGACGGGCAAATTCTCCACCCTTACCCAATTGGTTCTTAGAAATAAAAAATATATGTGAGGTGCGATTTACTGCCTTCAAGTCAGGGAGGAGAGACTCTGCGTTGAGCTTTCTTTCAACACATTTACTTCCTATACTTAGGCATGTAAATTGGGGGAAAGGATATAGATGCCGATTAAATAAATAGCCGATTCTCGAATCTATAACGCATGTTGAAGCGACGTCTTCCATCCCATTAACTTTGTAACCCTTGGGAAGCGATAATGGTTGCACTGTGTTCTCTCTTGCCATACCATAAGAAGTATGCATGACAAGGTATCTCAGTACACTTGCTTGATTAATATACAAGCCACGACTCAGCCTTCTTCAGCGCCTCGTCCCATCCGTTCTCATTTTTCCACACAGCGACGCTTTCTATTTCGTCCTTTCCTAACTTGAGGCCATTATAAAGATGCTTTTTTGCGTTCATTAGACAACAATTGTCCCAGAACGAATGAATTGTGATTCTTTAAAAAAAAACCTACCGGAAACAACCCCTCACCTCCTCTTGGTCCGCACACGGTGGCATCCGGATTCTCCCATCGGATGTCCTTCTCTACTCGCTCGTATTCGATTCGAAGTACGTAGACAAGAGGCTCATCCTTGAAAAAGAATTTGAGAGTGTTGGGAACTTGCGGTGCTGTGGAGAGGTGGATGAATCCTGAGCGCTGGTCCAGGTCGCTGACCGGTAACCGCTCGGGAAGATCATCTGGGACGGGCGCGGTGGAGGGGATGAGCTTGTAGATATACGTCGGTTTGGAAGAGGAAGAACTCATCTTCTCGATGTTGCAGTTTTTTTATTTCTGCTGATATGCTTTGAATAATAGCAGTCTCTAGTATCGCAAAGCTAATACGTTTCTTATTTTAGGATTGAACAGACGCTGCGGTTCCGAACTAATGTTGATCGCGGGGCGATTATGGCAGCCTATGCCCAATCAAAAAGAGTAATGGGCCTGTTTATTCTATACACACAAACGCTCCTCTATTTGCATTTTACTTGATTCACTTGTGCAAAGGACGCATTGAATGGTTTACATCTCTTTTTTATTTTTACGCATTGAGAACGTATGAGGAAATCTTGATCAGACCCGTCAATCCCGTTGAATTAGGTAGTTTGACAGAATAGCACTGTTGGCAGGACGAGGCATTGCAATTACACGCAACGATTTATTAAATCTGCCCAGAATATCTGGGAAGAAGAAATATATCTCACAAACTTGATGGGACTAAGCGGGGAGAAAGTCCTCTATACATTCCACAGAGATCTGCCCCAAGCGTGGCGTTGATCGGGAATGCCTGCCAAGGTTCTATTCAGATCTGGCCACTATTCAAGCCGCTCGATGATGCCCCTTTGCTTGCGCTAGCCATCACTCCGATTTCTACGGGGCCTCGTCCTGAACAAACAAATTCAGCAGAGAAAATCTCAGACCTGCTAAGCCACACATTCAAGCCACATATAATTCCGTCTAGGTGTTATATTTAAAGTTAGTTAGCGCCACAGCACAGACCAAAGTTAAAAAGGAAAGACCCGTAATGGATGTGTTGGCGAGGCCAGAACCAGATGGCAGGGAAATTGCGGAGTTCAGGTAATGAGTTGTCCCCAAGTAGGGCAATTCTTCCAAGTGTGAGAACCCCGAAGACCTTTACTGCATATACGAAGTCATCCTGGCTCATTTGACGCAGGGTGGGAAGACCTGTTCTTCGAGCTGCAGACGAACCGATGGGGCAGCGGATGCCAGTCACGTGATAGTAGACATCGGCAACGGGTGCCCAATCGCGGCTATACCAGATCGGGAGATTTGTTTATTCCCGGGCAGCGTTGGCGGGCCCCGCCATCAACATCTATTAGGCTGGGAAGCCGCGACCCATCCAGGCCAAACGTCACACTCGCGCCTTATCTCGGGGGAGGGTCGACCTGCTGTTGAGGACCTTTCACATTTTTTGTTTTGTTGACAGTTCTGGAGAAATATTGCGATTTCAAGGGCCAGACCATTATTGCCCCTTGATTCCGCATTCCTCTCGTGCCACAGAAAGGCAATCCACCAAACTGTCTCCATTTCCATCCGTCCTGTTTCCTCGTGTTGCTGCTCTTGAGGGAGCAGGTATGCGTCCGGCTGTGCAGGGGACCTCGCTTCATTTACCACCTGTCGCATTCCAGTCTGCTCGGCACTATACGTGATGTCAAATCCATCGTTCAGACGGGCACAAACGGACCTGGGAAACTCATCTCCGAGTCCGCTTCGACATGGCTCAACAGCGTCGACCTCATCTACTTGCTCTGTCTTCTCGAACCCTCTCACGCCCAGCCGTACAAGCACCATCTCCTCCAATGCGTCTATCAGCTCTTCGATTGGGATTTTCGGCCACAAACGTGGGAAGAGCGAACTAGACACCTTGTCGTCGACCACCTCAAACAATGCTATGATGTCTGACCGGTCTCCAACTGCCGCTGAAACCTACGAAAATGTGCGTCGTTCTTTACGGCCGCTTCCACAGCCGCCGAACGCGTCTCCGAATTCAACAAAGAGCAGCGCCACGCGCCATTCGAGAAGCTATACGGTCGACGAGACAAACTATCGAAAGTCTCAATCTCCAAGCACACCTGACCGGCGAATACGATGGCAGGAGAATGATCCTCCTGGCCAGAGCAACGGCGACTGCTCTTATTCCCCGACGCCTCCACGTCCCAGGTCGCAGCATTCACACAGCCATTCCAGTCCGCACCCGCCCACACTACCGACAGCTCTGACGGCTCCAGAGCTTGAGACTTTTCAGAAATCTTCAACCGGTCATCTCCGGACCCTCTCGAAATTTGCCAAATCTGGAGAGAGCGAAGAATTTGCGCTCGATACCACATCCCCCTCCGTGGTTGGGCTGCAGGGAAGAAGACGCCTGAAACGGGCGGATTCAGTCCGTAGCGGCTCTAGCCCCGTCAAGAAGAAAAGTACATCGTCATGGGCGGCGGGAAACTGGATGGACAAACAGAGGGAGTTCCTTCAGGCTTACGAATATCTTTGCCATATCGGAGAAGCCAAGGAATGGATAGAAGACGTCATTCAGAAGCAGATTCCTCCGATTGTTCAGCTCGAGGAAGCTTTGCGGGACGGGGTGATTCTGGCAGAGATTGTACAGGCGTTGTACCCTAACCGAGTATTCCGCATCTTCCGACACCCGAAGCTCCAGTATCGACATTCCGACAATATCGCTCTTTTCTTCCGATTTCTCGATGAGGTTGAATTACCCGACATTTTTAGGTTCGAACTCATCGACCTGTATGAGAAGAAAAATATTCCCAAAGTGATCCATTGTATCCATGCCCTTTCGTGGTTACTCTACAAGAAAGGAATCGTCGATTTTCGCATTGGCAACCTCGTTGGCCAGCTTGAATTCGAACATCATGAGCTTGAACAGACGCAGAAGGGCCTGGATAAAGCAGGTGTCACTATGCCGAGCTTCTCTGGGATGGGTGCCAGCTTTGGCGCGGAACCTGAACCGGAGCCGGAGCCAGAGCCGGTAGAAACCGAAGAAGAACGCATCGAAAGGGAGTTACGCGAAAAAGAAGATATTATCAGTGACTTCCAAGCCCAGATTAGAGGGGCATTATTGCGGTTGAACTTGGGCAATATTATGAACCACCTATGGGATAATGAACACATGATAGTCGACCTTCAGTCAAGAATACGCGGTGACTGGGCACGGCAGGTCATCGGTTACCGGTTGAGTATGCGTCGATTTGCAGTGAATCTGCAGGCGTTGTGTCGTGGATTCCTGGTGCGACACAGGCAACGGAGCAACGAGGACTTTTGGAGAGCGAAGGAGCAAGATGTCGTTAAGCTGCAGAGTCTGGCAAGAGGACGCAGAGCTAGGGCTCAGGTTCAGTACCTGAAAACTCAAATGCGACGCGAGGAATCCGGTATCAAATTTATTCAAGCAGCTATTCGAGGTGCTCTGCAACGAAAGAAAGCATTCAATCAATACGAAGAGACCAAAGACGCGGAGGGCGAGATCCAGTCCCTGCAGGCAGCAATACGTGGTATGCAATTGCGCCGCTCAATGAAGCAACTGATAGCAAGCCTCGATCGAGAATTGCCTTCCATTGTCTTTATTCAATCTGCTGCTAGAGCTCTTGCGGAACGAACGCGTCAAGCACAACTGAAGGAGGCATTGGATAGCTCAAACGAACAATGGCTTGCTTTACAATCCATGGCTAGAGGTGCCGCTGTGCGGTGTCAACTCCAGCACCTCCGAAATGAACTTGAGAAGCAACGGCCGTCGGTATTGCTGCTACAAAGTCTCATAAGAGCCAATTTCGTTCGAGGACAGATCGAGGAACAGAAGAGTTCTTTGGCACAAAACGAAACTCAAGTACTGGCTCTGCAGTCCATGATCCGCGGCCATCTATTCAGAAGACGATTCCATGCCGACCTTGAAAATCTTCGGCAAAATCAGGAACTGTTTACCAATTTGCAGTCGTTTGCTAGAGCAGCAATGTTGCGGAAAGATGTCGGCGATCTTCTGTCAAAACTCAGGCAGAACGAGGAGGAGGTCGTACAGCTTCAGGGACTTGCCAGAGCTATGCTTGTCCGACTTGACGTTGGCAAGATTTTGACTGATTTGGAGGAAGAAGAGGAGCGTATCGTTGATCTTCAAGCATGCATCCGGGGGAATCTCGTTCGATCTCGATTTGCCGAGAAGCAGCGTTACTTCCGGGAAAATATGGATAAAGTGATCAAAGTCCAGAGTTACGTGAGAGCTAAGATCCAGGGTCAGGCATACAAGAGTCTCACGAGTGGCAAAAACCCACCTGTTGGAACTATCAAGGGTTTTGTCCATCTCCTCAATGACAGCGATTTTGACTTTGACGAGGAGATTGAGTTTGAGCGGTTGAGGAAAACTGTCGTGCAACAGGTTCGGCAAAACGAGTTAGCAGATCAATACATCACCCAATTGGACATCAAAATCGCGCTGCTCGTCAAGAACAAAATTACACTCGATGAAGTCATTAAGCATCAGAAACACTTCGGTGGTCATTTCGGATCTCTGCTGCAGAACACCGACATCTCATCGAAGGATCCATTCGATCTCAAAGCTCTGAACAAAAATTCAAGAAAGAAGCTGGAGCAATACCAAGTGTTGTTCTTCCTTCTTCAGACGCAACCCCAGTACCTGGCTAGACTCTTCCGAAGACTCCGTGAGCAGAACGCGGGTGAGAAAGAGTACGAGAGGGTCAAACATCTCGTCATGGGGTTGTTTGGCTATGCTCAAAAGAGGCGTGAGGAGTATTACCTGATTAAGCTGATTGCCCGATCGATTAAAGAAGAAGTTCAAAGTTGTCCGTCGCTTCAGGATTATATCCGGTGCAATTCGTTCTGGAACAAACTCTTCGTGGCTTATGTGAAGTCGCCTCGAGACCGCAAGTTTATGCGTGACGTTCTAGGGCCCCTGGTCAAGGAATGGGTGATTGAAAACCCGGAACTGGATCTAGAGAGCGACCCAATACAGATATATCGCGCGGCAATTAGGAACGAGGAACTTCGCACTGGTCAGAGGAGCAAACGTCCGCGTGATATCCCAACTGAAGAAGCCATCAGGGATCCAGAAACCAGGTCGATATTCATCCAACACCTGCAGGACCTGCGTGATATCGCCGACCAATTTCTGAGCCGACTTCAGGAGTGCCTACCTCGAATGCCTTTCGGAATTAGATATATTGCGAAGGAAATGTATGAATACCTTCTGGCTCAATTCGGCAATGAAGATCCCGGTTACATTCTTCAGATCGTCGGGCAGTGTATCTGGAGAAATTATTTCCACCCTGCCGTGCTAGAGCCAGACAAGCACGGGGTGATCGATCGGGGTCTAAACCCAGAACACAAAAAGAATCTTGGAGAAGTCGCCAAAGTTCTCTCACAAGTGGCATCTGGCAGGTTGTTTGGAGCCGAAAACGTTTATCTCCAACCACTCAATACCCATGTCGGAGAGTCAATCCTGCGTCTCGGCCGCATATGGGGTGACAGTAAGTTTCTGGCTTCCCACTTCACCTCCCTGGTACGGGAAATCTAACTCTCTCTCATAGTGATCTCTGTGCAGGACGCAGAGTCTTACTTCGATATTGATGAGTTTAATGACCTTTACGCCAAAACAAAGCCTACGCTGTACATCAAAATGTCGGACATCTTCTCTATCCATCAACTCGTGGCATCTGAGATCCAGCACATCTGTCCCGCTCAAGATGACGTTCGGGAGATCATTCGAGATCTGGGTAATGTCAAAACTAACGAGAGTGAGCTCATGACCGTCAGCTCGTCGGAGATTAGCTTGACGCTACATCCTAAGCTTACTAATGTCGAAGGTGAGTGTGTTCCTGCGCATTTTCTATTGCTTTAGTGCTGACATTTATTAGATCCCGAGGCTGGTATCAAAGCTCTTTTCATGGAAACCAAGCGTTGCATTCTCTATATTATTCGGGTTCAATCGGGCGCTAATTTGTTGGAAATTATGGTCAAACCGCCCACGGCCGAAGACGAGGAGCGGTGGCGGGCCCTTGTGCAAGACGAACTCTCTGCAAACAATTCTCGAAGGAGAGGTGCATACTCTGAGGCCAGCCCAATTCTCGACCTGAGCACCATGAGTTATGCTGAGTTGAAACGAATTGCGCTCGAAAACATTCTGGAACTCGAGAAAGCAGGCAAGATCAGCCGCCACAACCAATACCAAGACATCCTGAATTCAATTGCGGTGGATATTAGAACGAAGCACCGGCGGAGGATCCAACGGCAGAAGGAGCTTGAGAGTGTCCGATTGACGCTGTCACGGTTGAATGATCAAGCTGTCTACCTCGAGCAACAACTCAAGACGTACAACGACTACATTGAGCAAGCCATGGTCACACTTCAAAACAAGAAGGGCAAGAAGAGATTCCTCCTGCCATTCACCAAGCAGTGGGACCACGAACGAGAACTGCAGAAATCTGGACGAGTTTTCAAATTCGGCTCCTACAAGTACTCGGCGCGCAATCTGGCCGACAAGGGCGTTTTGGTATACTGGAAAGGCTACACAGAGCGCCAGTGGGACCGGGTTGACCTTACCATCTCCAGTAACGAGGTCGGTGTGTTCACACTGGATGGTAGCAGTGGCAACTTGATGATTCCAGGTGCCAGCGCTCAGATTCCGTTGGACGACCTCTTGCAAGCACAGTTCAACAACACCCAGTTCCTTGACTTCTTTGAGGGAGCTCTCCGGGTGAACGTTAATCTTTTCTTGCATCTTATCATGAAGAAATTCTATACTGAGTGAGCAGGTTTCGGTGGAGTTCTTTTTCAGTCGGCATTGTTGACGTTTCCAGTTCGAGCATGATATGGCGGGCATTGTTTTTTACTTTCCCTTTTACTCTCTGGTCACAGCATGTCTTTTCATGATATCCAAAGGTAAGGCGGGGGATGATGTAACGATCATAGGTCTCATGAGGGCGGAGTTTTCAGGAAGTGCGGATTGAAGACTCCTTAGATTGGTATGAATATCATTTGCTCTTCTATCATGAACCCCTTTGACGATGAACGAGTCAACAAGTCAGCTTCCATTCTGCGGATGGAAAGCTGATTTGATTTAAGTCGTTGACGGATGGCTTGATGCTTATCTTCGTCTCGATAAATGTTTTGCCTTTTTTGTATGTATGTACTTGACCTGGAAGTAGTATAATCCCATGCAATATTGAAAAAACCACCAACTTAATACCAAGTCCAGTAACTTAGTGCCAATCTGTCACGCATTACTCTCTGGATAATTGTTTGATCAGGATCAAGCCAGTCAAGGAGGCTGACGGAGCGATTTGGGCAGCAACAATATTATTTCACGTGACCGTCAGTGTTCCGGCGGCGGGCGGCGATCAACGGCCAGCGAGTCGCTGCCAGATAATCTCGCCCGGCCAACGCTCCTCTGTCGCATTCAAGCGCGCCCTTCCTGTTTATTAACGCCCACCTCCGGTTGTCTTTTTCGGCTTCAATTCCTCTGGTTCCTGCGCAGACAGCCGTGTCGCGTGTCACCATGGATTTCGCGAGCCTAAAGGAGCAGGTCAGCAACCTGACCTTGTACGATATCAAGGCGGGTGTCCGCAAGGTCCAAAATGGTACGTCTTTGCTTTTTCGGATACCCCGTTTGGATGCGGGGAAATACTACGAGCGCTCCGCTGATCGACTATGTCTTTAGCTGTCATGAACTACACGGAGATGGAGGCGAAGGTTCGTCGCCGCCCCCCCTTACTCCCTGTCCATGTCTTGCGTCGCAACTCGTGACTTACGCGACTGGGAAACAGGTCAGGGAAGCTACAAATAATGAGCCTTGGGGAGCGTCATCGACTCTAATGCAGGAAATCGCGAACGGAACGCACAACTAGTTAGTCGCCTTTGGCTGTCGTAGATTTGGCTGGGGGATGTTGACGCTGACATTTATCTGCCTTTCCCATCTAGTCAATTGCTGAACGAGATTATGCCTATGATCTACAGGAGATTTACGGAGAAGTCAGCGGAAGAATGGAGACAAATATACAAGGTATGCCGTAAGATCGGCATGGTCGCTTTGTCACTATAAGATCTTTTAAGGACAAGGACTGATCGTCGGATTCTACAGGCCCTTCAACTCCTTGAATTCCTGATCAAGAACGGTTCTGAACGAGTCGTTGATGATGCCCGAGCCCACATTTCTCTCTTGCGGATGCTCCGCCAATTCCACTATATCGACCACAATGGCAAGGACCAGGGTATCAACGTGCGCAATCGGTCGCAGGAGCTGGTCAAACTGCTGAGCGACGTCGATCTCATCCGTGCAGAGAGAAAGAAGGCTCGAGCCAACCGGAACAAGTTCGGTGGTATCGAGGGCGGCATGGGCTTTGGCGGCGGCCTCTCCGGCTCCCGCGGCAGATACGGAGGCTTCGGCAGTGAAAGTTTCGGAGGATACAGTGGAGGTGTCTACGGTGACGGTGGAGGCTTTGGCGGCAATACCAACGATTTCGGGGATACCGGCAGGCGAAGCAGCCGTTTCGAGGAATACGATGAAGATGAGGAGGACTCCGGTCGGCGGCGAGCAGCCAGCCCAAGCAGGGCCAAGAAGGAGACGAAGGCTCCTGAGCCACCAAAACCGGCGGAAGAAGATCTCGTTGACTTTGGTGACGACGAGGTCTCTGCCCCAACTTCTTCCACGGCCGCAGGGAAACAGCCCGCTGCTGGTAACGGATTGGATATACTTCAATCAGGTAACGCAGACGACGATGAGTTCGACGACTTCCAGTCGGCTGCTCCCCCTGCGTCCACCCAGCCTGCGCCATCCACCCAGTTCGCATCTATCCCTCCTCCTACATCGACGGCTACAACGACATCGAGCACTCAGTTCGCTGCTCCAAAGCCCGTTTCTGCAGCTCAGGGTGCAAACTTGAGCGGCCTTGCCAGCTTGACCTCTGCCACACCGACTCCGAGCACGAGCTCGTTTATGTCCCCGATATCCCCTCCTGCGTCTACTTCTTCTTTCGCTCAACCACAGCAGCAACAGCAGCAACAACAACCGCCGAAGCCAACAGGGTATCAAGCAGCGACCCCGAACTATTACACCTCCGTCTCCGCCACCCCCAGTCAGCAGCCTCTTTCATCCGCGAACACGCGACCCGGCCTGCAATCCACTTCTTCATTCTCCTCGACGACCTCATCGTCCGCAGGCAGCAAGCCTGCCGCATCGAAGTCTGGTGAAGACGTGTTTGGATCGCTCTGGTCCGCCGCCAGCGCCAGCGCAGGTATCCAGAAGACGACCAACACGAACAAGGGACCAAACCTGGCCAGCATGGCCAAGGAAAAGTCCAGCGCCAGCATATGGGGCGCTCCTGCAGCCTCCAGCACTACCACAACCACAACCACAACAACTTCCACACCCTCGCCATCCGTGTCGTCAACTTCAGGATTTGCTCAGTCACAGTCGCAGCAGCAGAAGCCCAGCAGCGCTGCTGGTGGTTCCTCTGCACTGAATGACCTGCTGGGTTAGAAGAGACAGTAGATAGACCTCATACCAGCCAGTAGGTCGTTTCTTTTTCCCCTACTTGTAGTAGCCGCCGTGTAGGTAGTTTTGCTCGCGGATTTGGTTTTGTTGTTTCATTTATTGTTGACCATACCATCATACCATACCATGCCATACGGTATACCATTGCCAACCTCTTTTTTTCTTTTTCGATTTGTTTTCTTTGTTCAGCCATTAGTTATGTGAAGAAAAAATTAGCTAGTTTGATTTGAGCGTTGAATGCAACTCTTTCTGAAATCCAAAACCCAGCAGAAGAACTCAGGCGGTTTAATGGGTGGGGGGTAGGTAAATGACCTTCTAAAACTTGCCAAGTAGTACAGATATCCAGAAAGATCGCTCCCATATACGGTAACAACTAGTTATATCCAACACATCATGTTCACTTCGATGAAAGGTAAGAAGTTTTCAATTATATGATATGAAGAATATAGAAGAAAGTAATATAATTAATATATATATATATATATATATGGGTAATAAGTAGTAAGATGAGGTTGCGTCCGCAAATAAGGAATAAATCCAGTTGAAATCAATAGATAAATGCTCTCGGGCTTAAACCAAGCCAAATAATTGCGAAATCCACCCCATTTATCTGCGATAAAAAAAACCAAGAAAAAAAAATCATTGACCCTCGGGGGCAATGAAGGACAAATCAAAAAAAAAAAAGAATCGGAACAGAAAAAACGGTCCACGCATAGTTGCGGCAACCAACACGAAGAAAAAAAAAAGATAATACAGGTTGTGCAAAGCAAGCAATGGCGAAAGTTAAAAAGGTAAGTAAAATATGTGGATGAAGAGAAGAATGGAGAAAGGCAACAGCCACCTTTCAATGCTCGAGAAAAAAAAAGGCAAAAGGGCAAAAAGGGAAATAGCATGATAAATATCTCGCCATAGATAATACTACCAACAGCGTCAACATGGCAAGAAAGAAGAAAGTCAGAAATTCATTCGCGATGGAGATTGATCAATCATTCACGTCATTCATGTTCCTGTCCGTTCTCATTGATGAGCATGTCCAGCCCGACAGACAAATATATAGACGGAAAAAATAACCGAAACGTTGTCTGGCATCAAGAGAAAGAAAACGGCGCTAGTGTCGTGCATGAGAAAGCAGCTTAGCGGAAGTCGTCATCACCGTCGTCATACTCGAGCTGGTCAATACGCTGTACTAGCTCTTTCGTTTCTCGGGCGATTTCGAATGCGATAGGAGGCAGTTTGTTGGTCACGTCCCGCAGCTCAGCAGGGTTGGTTACATCTTCACCCTCAGCCCCGGTTTCGGACAGGCGATCACGGCAGCTCGACAATGTCTGAACAACAGGGGACACCCGTTCTCGGAGAGCGGGATTAATATCCGGCTTGTTCATGGCATTCTCTGTCGAGGACACGACATTTCCGACCACCGCAGATATGGCCGAGATATGGCTACGGATAGCCGGCATCTCGTCTCCAGCACGAATGCTGGCAACAAGGGCCTGGATTGATTGGACAAGTCCCTCGGTCTGATCCTCAAGATACAGCTGTTGTGATGTTAGTGAGACCGCCGGTCGTACAAAAAGGGGGGGATACCCCATCCACAAACAACATACCTTGAGTTCTTCCAGCTCGCTGTCCTGGGGCCGCATACCATACCCCAGCTTCATGCCGAAACCCTGTCCATTCGGGACACCATTTCGAGAGAACGGCCGACGGGAGTTGGTCTGACTTCGGGACCTGACAGATGGCGAGCTGATCGCACTGTACACCGACTCATTGTTACTCATCCGATTCTGGCTGGCAGCCACACTGAAATAGCCCGGTGACTGCATGGGGGCAATGTTGTCTTCTTCATCTTCGAGCTCCTCTGCAGGAGTGGGGCGGATCTTAACGAGGCGAAGAAGCTCCACGACAGCAGTGCTGAGATGAGACGCAGCCGCATCAAGAAGTGAAACAGGAGACAGTCCATTCGAACTGGCAAAGTTTTTGGAAGCAGTGATCAGGTTGTTTGCGGTCGCAGACACCCTGTTCTTGGCTTTCTTCTGTACGGGCGACAGCTCTTCTCCGTTGTTGTTGTTGCTCGCTTCGATATCCTGGGTTATATGGCGAACAGCAACGACAACGACCTTCATCTGGTCGAGAACTAATCCGGGCTCTCCGGATCGGGCAGTCCGCAACAACTCGTCGATAGACATCTGGAACTTAGTGACGTGCACATCTTTCACCAGGCCGGTAGGCTGCATGAACTCGTTGTCCTTGGCAAGAGCACCAACGTCTTGACGGAAGTTCGAGATGCCGCCCGAGGAAGCCCTGAGGTGCCGTAACTGCGTCCGGGCCTTGATATATCGACTCTTCCATTCCTTCACTTCCTCTTCAAGTCGGTTCACATCGCGAGACAGCTTCTCCTCTCGTTCCCAAGTGGCATTGCTGCGCTCCGACATGGCTCTCATTTCTTTCAGGAAGTTGGCGGCGTCCCGTCGCACTTCCTCCGTAACTTGTTGCTGTTCCCGCAGCTCTTCTTGGAGACTCTGATGTCGCTTTTCAAGATCATCAAACCGTGCTTGTAAATCGCTGTCTCCCACCGTGCTCTGCGCGGCCTCGAGCTGTGCCCGGAGATCACGCTCCATGTTCGACTGGTCGGCTCGCGCTTGATCGAGCTCGGATCTAAGAGAGCTATTGACGCTTTCCAAATGCGCGATCTTACTTTCCAATTCGGCCTTGAGAGTCTCCCATTCTTGCCGCTCGGCACCGCTAGCCTATTCAAATGGTCATTCTCTCACGTCACACGCTCGTGATTGGGTGTCCAAACAGGATGGCGCTCAATCGAGCAAGCGCACGTACCTGAGATTTGTCCTGTTCCTCCTGTAAGCGGGATATTTCCTGATCCTTCGATTTCAGTAGCCCCTCCAGCTCGTCGACCCGCTCCTGCAAGGACGTCGTCTTCTTGTCTCGGTCGCCTAATGTCGTCGCTGTCTCTCTTCGACTCTGTAAAACTCCATCCAGAGCAAATGCATCGCTTCGTCCATCGTAATCGTCCTCGATACCAGCACCATCGTCATCATCTTCGACCAGAGTACTCTTGTTGGGAACAATGGTGTTGCTCTGGAACGACTTCATCTCGGGTTCCCCGTTCGGGCCTATCGGAGGAGATCCACCACCCAGGGATTGTTGACGCGGCGGGAACCGACCATTCGGCGGACCGCCTGATGGATAGCCTCTCCCAGGAGGAGGGCCATTGGAGCCGGGTCTATAGCCGTTCGGAGGACCACGAACACTGGGCGCTGGACTGCCCATCCGGGGCATGTCCGAACCCGCAAATTGAGGAAACCGTCGCTCCAGTTCGCTGAAGACGTCCGCCGAAAGGTCGCGAAATCGCTGAGGCTGCAGAGAGGCTAGCTTCTGCCGGGCCTGGTTGCGTTTCTCGTGGAAGTCGGGGCGAGGAGGCAAGAATGGCGGGACATCGGGCCTGGGCGGCCGTCCTGGTCCTCCGGCAGATTGCTGCCGACGGACCAGTTCGTCGAACACGTCGGTACTCAATTCGTGGAACTGCGTGGGCGAGAGCCTCAGCAGCTTGTCGCGAGCCTTGTTCGGCTTATTGGCCCTGTCCGACTGATATGAGTTACCCAGGAACCGCCGCAGGGCATTGTAGTGTTGGGCCAACGACTCCTCCATCCGGCGATACCGTCTGCTCTGCTGATCTGCTAAGGTGCCATCACTCGATCGCGCGGCGACAGAGCTTGGAGGAGAGGGATTTCCTGGGTCAGTAGGTCGGCGAGGAGGGCCATTTGGCATCCCCCCATTTGAACCCATCGGGCCTGGGGGACCGCCCGAGGTTGGCGGGGTCGCGAGATTGCCGCGACCTGATGAAGTTGGGGAGAACGGGGGATCAGATTTGGGATTGCCGGCCTGGTATTGGTTGATGCCAGACCACTCGCTGCCATCGGCAGAGACGGGGGACATGGTACCACTGCGGCCATTCATGGCTAGATGGGGTGTGAATGTTTGCGCTCCTGGTGTCGTTCTCGAACCGTCCTTGTCCTATCCATTCATTCACCGCAAATTCCGTCGAGGCGTGACGAAGAACCTTTTCACGTTTGTCTTTGTAGATATCAAAACGGATTGCGAAGATTCAAAGGGAACGATTGGACACGAAACGTCAGCTGATCGAGGTCTCAAGCGCCCAGGAGTAATTTTTTTTTCTTGGTTCGTTCCAGCCTTCAACGTGGAAAGGAAAGACGTCGACGAAGAGGTCCTGTTTCAGTGTCGTCACAGAAAACGCTGATGGGGAGCAAAGGAAGGAAACGGCCCCAAGCAAGGGGACAAAAAGGACAGAAAGACGAAAGAAAGAAGGAGGATCTGTGCTGAGGCTTTTTTTTCTTCCCTCTCCAGAAAAAGAAAAGAATATAGCGAGATCTGGAGTAGCGGACAATCCGGGAGCGGTCCAAGGAGTGTCGGGCCCGTCACCTGCCTCGGGGCAATACAGCAAGACGCGACTGGTCGGACTGGCTGACTGGCTTGCCTGGGAGTCGGGGCCAAGTCAACAGCAGAGACGAGACAGACGCGCACGCCGGCACGCAAACACTCGACGAAGGAAGAGAGGAAGCTAGGAGGCGAGGACGCAGGGAAGCGCGGAGCGAAGCCGCGAGGGTCGCACACAAGGTCAAACTCACCAGCCTCAGAGGGCCACGACTGAGCCTCAGCCTGCCATCTGGCAGACAGCCAGACTTTCGACTCCTTTTGCTCCGTTGTCTCCTGCTTGGGGCCGTTTCGGTGTCCGCGTGGGCCGGTGCAGGTCCGGACCGCGGGCCAGCCACAGCCCTCGCCCGCCATTCGCTGGTTTGCTGCCTGCCCAGCGCGCTCGCCCCTTCCCGTTTCTGCAAGTCGCTCCTCGCGCCTTCCTCAAAGCCAACTCTCCCGGCCAGCCACGCCCCAGCGCCTGTGGCGTCCAGTCGCAGCTTCCCTTTCAGATCTCGGCCCTGGGCAGTTCCATGCCGTTGCTTCCTTGCTGCCACGGTTCATTGCAAGTTTGTACCTGCCCATTCCGAATAAGAGTATCTTGGTACGGGAATGGACATTTCCAACCCCCCATCCGTATCCGTACCATATACTCCGTACCATCGTGGTAGTCGATCATGGATCGTGTCCTTTGAATCATAATCTGCCCAGGTCCTTCAATAGTGCTGAATGACTGAATCAAGGGCCTTGCACACGTCCAACACTCGCACCCCCTGACTAAGAAACACCAAATAACGTAATCAATCACCGAGCGAAACAGATCACCGAGCGAAACACCCACCAACGCCATTATTATTAGATATCTAATTATCTCACCACACCACCCCTAAATTGAAGCTATTTACATGTAAAATAATTGCCTATTTACTAGGGCAGCTGACCCTAGTATGACCTTGAATATTGCAGTTGCTGCACCGCGGTGGTGCACGTCTTCTAGGCTGCATATCAGCTTGGTCAGCTACCTCTGCCTGCAATTCTGCAGCTTGCTGAGCAAGCTGCTGGCCTTCTTCAGCAGTTAAAATCCCCCCGGTAGCAATATAGGATCTAGCTGTCTCTTGCTTGCGTTTTTGACATTGATTGGCCACACGTAGCTGCTTGATTTCATGCTCTAAAAGCACTGCATTATTCATCGCGATTTGGCAGCCCTTGACCACTTGATCAACTGCTTGACTAATTGGACTGGGAGGACTCCACGTATGCTGCCGCCAAAGACGCTTGATTAGCTCTGACTGCTTCTCTAGCTCCCTAGCTTTCTTTGGTGTCTCAGCAGTCCAGCTAGATGACTGATTGCTATGGGATGTGCCTGGTGGTGTAGGTGTTTTCAATTGAATATGAAGCTGGTCAAGCACCTGCTCTGGCTTATATGGAACCAGGCCTGATGCAGCAAATCCACTGCATATATTAGATGCAGTCAGAGCTCGCGGGCGTACTTGCTGGTAGATAGTGATGAAAGCCTCCTTGTCAATATGATTGATGTGGGT